TATAATTATCATTTGCTCTAATAGGTGTTAGTACCGGAGTAGTTACCGTTGTATTGAACCGCTGTTATAATGACTATATGAATTCTCTGTGGTCGAGAGCTAATTATGGTATGCATATATGACGTCAGTTTTTATGGGCTAAAAGAGTGAAGACCATTGTAGAAACGTGATCGATTTTTTAATTGCAATGAATATTAAACGCACCTGTCGGCAAAGCTCTTTTTGCATTCCATGCACTGATAAGGCTTCTCTCCTGTGTGTCTCCTGATGTGTACTCGGAGGGAATTAGACTGAGAAAATCTCTTTAGACAGATAGCACAGGCGAACGGCCTCTCTCCAGAGTGCTTGCGCAGATGCACAGTGAGGTTACCAGACTGAGTGAAGGTTCGGGGGCAGTGTGTACACTTAAATGGTCTGTCTCCACTATGGATCCGCATGTGCACCTTCAGAGCAGAGGGTCGTAGGAACATCTTGTTGCAGATTTCACACGCCAATTTCTTGCACGTGTCTTGTTTGGCCTTGTTGTTCGTCTGACTCAGTGGCACTGTAGGCACCATAGATGGCACACCGCTGATATACGGGAGTATCGCGGGTTTGTAATTGAAGTGATACGCTTCCAACAGAGGAGAAGCCTTGGTTGTGCTGCGGAACTGCGGATGCATATTGAAGTTGGGAAACTCACAATGAGTTGTAACTGTGGTTTCTGGGTAAAGTTGCCAGGAGACAGTAGTTGTTGGTGGGTGCATCCGGGTACTAGGAAGAAAAAACGTTGATTTAGAACTGGAGGCAGTAAACCGGAAGTAGTAAACTGGAAGTAATAAACCAGAAATAGTAAACAGGAAATGGAAAAAGGGAAATGAGAAAATCTTTGGCATATTAGCCCTAGCTGTAGAGATTCACTGTGAGAGTAAACGCGCTGGCATTCCAAAGGCACAAACGCGTTTTCTATTCTCTTTCGCAACGATCAGCCGAATAGAGAATATTTCTATTACAAGTAACAGGGTTCGCACGGGTCCTGGAAAACCTGGAAAGTCCTGGAATTTTATTGTGGCATTTTCCAGGACTGGAAAGTCCTGGAAAAGGGCTACTGGTCCTAGAAAGTTCTGGAAATCTGTTAAACTGAAGTAAAAAAATATGAAATGTATGGCAGACAGTAAGGAGAATTAACATTAAGATCTTGAGAGTGAAAGGGTTAATGTGAATTTTGGAGTCCTGGAAAAATCAATCTGAGTCGTGGAAAAGTCCTGGAAATTTGTTTCTGAAAAAGCTAGCCCTGAAGTAAAGGAGACAAATTATACAACAAATAGTGGAGGGAGCCGCCACCAGTAATCGAGCAAGTATTCACAAGAACCTGAGACAAGTTGAATACAGGTTACAAGCCAGAAAATATAACAACGACAGCGATACACAACGATAATTATAATAAAGAAAAACAGGCTCGAGTAAACTGGTCGGCGTCAAGTGATGTGATGTTCACAAGGAGTGGTACACAAAGGTCTAATTATCCCAATGGGAAAGAATACAATACAACCTAATTAAACACTTAAAAGAAATACATTATGTTAAACACTTGAAACTTCGCATTAAGGAGATGTTCACCAGGCTCACCTCTCCCAAATGCTGTATTTCTTTTCCAGGTGGAACGACTTCTTCGCCATTGCTACCGGCCCGAAAGTTTCCATAAAATCTATTTAAACAACGATGAACAAAAAGATTTTAATTTTAGATTATGACTTGACTGAAAACTAAAAACTAAATTAGAATTCTTTTTAAACTTTATTTTATATCTTGATTTTCTAGAGGGAACTATCTTTTTTTTCATTCTCGATCTCTAATCTTCTGCGATGTAGCTCTTGATCGCAATTATTTGCAAGTTTTAAC